CCCCCCCCCCACACACACACACACACACGCATTCACACCGACGTCCCGACTCACATGTAGGCTGGCTGGAGCTGTTCCCGGGCGGGGCGGCCCCGCCCGTGGCGGGGAGGCTACTGCGCAACCCTCCCCCGTCGCCAGCTGGGTTGCGATCTGCCCCACTCGGCGGGGGGAAGGAAGGCTCAGCTCCAGGGGGAGCAAGCGGTCGTTCCCCGCGGTAGGGGGCGCCGCCCCACACTCGGGCTGGGAGGTCTCCCCCCTCCGCGTCTCCCTGCCCAAGCCCAAGGGCCGGGGCGGAGGGGACAGGCCAGTGTGCCCTGTCCCGCACTTGCGGTCTTGTCAAGATCGCCGGGCCCCCCCCCCCCCCTCCTCGCTCCTGTGGCCCGGAGTAGGGGGCCCTCCTGATCCGGGGCCAGTCACCGCGGGGACATCATCTGGTATGGTCGCGGGGCAGGGGCACAGGATATGCCCACCTGCTGCGAGGTGTTCCCTCGGAGAGCGACGGGCGGGGGCCAGCGGGGGGGGGGGGGAACCGTTCGGAGAATTGCCCGCATCTGGAGGTCTCACGCGTGCGGCCCGGCCGGAGCGCGCCCGGGGAGAAGGCCCGGCATGGTCCGATGCTGTGCAAGCAACATGCGGCCAGCGGGGCGGGAAGGAAGCAAGACCGCCAACCAGGCCGGCCGACCGCCAGGATGGACGACTTCCCCGGCCCGTCCCCCGAGGAGCAGCACCCGGTAGATACTAGGGCCAGGGGACACACCCTTCCACTGAATCCCGACGAGAGGGGCCCCCGGGCACACTCCAGCACCCAATGACACCGGGCAGCGGCGGACGCCGGGCGGGAGAGACCCGGGCAGATGGACCGGCCCCCGGGGGTGCCCCGAAGGCCTTCGAGGAAGGGGGAGGAGGGGGGGGGGGGGGGCGGGCAGGGCGCCCCGGCCGTCCCTTGGCGCGGCAGCAGCGCGCGTTCCAGAGCCTTGCCGAGACAGAGCGCCCATCTGCTGGGCGCCGGAGCATATGTACCGTGCGCAGGCCGCCCCCCTACCCCCTGGGGCGGGGGGGGGGGCCGCCGGATGGCCAGACACATTCAGGGAGCCGGCCGGGATGGGGCCTCCTTCGCTGGCCAGCCGTCAGAGCGGCGCCTCCGGGGCCTGATCGACCGGGGCGCGTCGACGGAGATTGACCCCCGCACCCGTCGGGCGCGGCTAGATCGCTGGCGCCGAGACGATGGCGGCATGCCCGTCCCCGGTACACGCACACACGTACCCAAACACATTGACAAAATAATGGTCCCTGCATACACCTGCACGCGCGCGCGCGTGCACGAACATCCCCAGCCCCTGCCCCCCCCCCCCGGGGGGGGGGAACGAATAATCCCCGCCGGACGGGCGGGGAAAATACCCCGACGAGGCAGAGAGAGAGAGAGAGAGAGAGCGCCGGCCCTGGGAGGGCGGGCGATTCGGCCACCGGGGGAATCCTTCCAGAAACCCCGGGCAGCACTATCAGTTGGCGTGGACGAGGCCCCGACCTGCGGACGCGAATGCACCGCGGATCATATGGTGGGGCGAAGGGCTTGTGCGGGCGCGTCCGCGCGGGCATATGCCGGGCGCCTGGACCGGCGAGCGCGCGCGCACCGAGCGGGGCCGGGAAGGGAGGGGGAGCGGGGAACGGCCGCGAATTCCGTGAGAATGCGCACGCATCCACGCGCTCCGCCGATCGGGCGGCGGTGTCCTCGCGGAGGGGGTACGCCCGGGGGGCGGGAGAAGGCACCGGGGGCGGAAGGGGCGCCATTGCTATGAAACCCGCAACCCCCCCCCCCCCCGCCGGCCATCATGGGCATATGTTCACCCCATGTTGGCCCGGCCTTGCCTGTCTCCGCTTTTGCACGGAGGACCAGATGTTCGCGGTGGGCCGGCTGCGTGTGCGACGGCATGGCACAGCACCGGGGGTGGGCTGCTGGAGCAGAGTGCGGGCGCGGAGCCCGCGTGGCGCCCAGCTTGACGGGCTTGGAAGCACCTGCATGTGCCCCCCGAGCACGCCCACGACAACCTCCGACGCTCGCAGCATATGCAAGGAACGCGCCGCGCCGCGCCGCGGCCCCCCCCCCCCCCCTCACGCCCTCGGCGACCCGGTCGAAAGAAAGGCCTGGAAGGGACGCGGGCGCCTGGCACGCGCGCACATTAGCACCCACACGCCGGACAGCCCTCGAGCGAACATGCGCCGGCCCGTGCGCAGACGCGCGCCGGGCGCCGCCCTCCGCGCCCCGGCCCGGGGGCCTCTGACCGCGCCCCATCGGCCGCATGGCGCCGCCGCCACAGGCAGGCGAGGCCCCCCCGCCTGGCCAGGATGTTGGGCGAGGGCCCATGCCCAACGGTCCGCGCGTGGCCGCCCCAAGCAGCGGCGGGCCTGCCCGGGGCGAGCCCCCGCTCTCGACGCCCCAGGAACCCACGGACATATGGGCGGCGGGCGGCGGGGGGGGTACATGGGCCCCCCTCCCGGCGCTGACGCGCCCCCGCCGAGCCGGCACCCGGGCGGCGGTGGGGGGCGGGGGGCGGGGGCGGCAGACCATATGCACCGGAGGGGGCGGCGAAGCCCCCTGCATGGGGATATCTCGGGCCGGAAGCTGCCCCTCCTTCGGGAGCCGCCAAGCGGCCCGAGCATATGATGCCGGGCGGGAGCCCAGATCGGAAGAGCACACGTGCGGTGGGGGGCGGGGGGCGGGGGCGGCAGACCATATGCACCGGAGGGGGCGGCGAAGCCCCCTGCATGGGGATATCTCGGGCCGGAAGCTGCCCCTCCTTCGGGAGCCGCCAAGCGGCCCGAGCATATGATGCCGGGCGGGAGCCCGGTCCGGAGGCGGCCCGCGCAGGCGCCCATCCGCCCGCGCGGGCCCCCAACCCCCGCGCCCGAGCCGGCATTCCGACCCGCCATGGCCGCGTCGGGCCGGGCATGCCCTGCGCGGCCGGCGCGGGAGCCGAGCGTGGGGCCTCTCCCGCGAGCGTGTGTCCTGTTATTTGGAGGGCCTCCTGGTGTCCGGCGTCTCCAGGGGGAGGGGGGGGGGGAGGCCCGGACGCGAGTGGCCGGCTGGTCCAAACACCCAGCGCCCGGGCGCACAGGCCGGGAGGTTGATCCGCGCGTCCTTTGCCCACACACGCGCACGCGCGCACGCTTGTGAGAGAAAAAAAAACATACACCGGAGGGGGGCCTTTATTTAGTCCAGCTTATTCCCATAACTAGCTCCCCTCCAAGGAAACCGCCGCGTCAGTGCCCGACCTACGCCGGGGCCCGGGCAGAATTGGGCAGGCCTGACCCGGCACCGCGCGCGCCCTCTCACCCGCGCCCCCCCCCCCCCCTTCCCCCGGGATGGGGGCTGCCTCCGGTTCGGCGGTCGCCGCTGCCGGCGGCACCGGCGCCCCAAGGCCAACACGCCCGGCATGCTGGGGGCCCCGCCACCCGGCGCCACGCCGGTCGAGAGGTTAATCGTCCGCCTGGGCGCGGGCATCGGCCGGCCGCCGGGCCCGCCGCCCCCGGCGCCCTCCTTGCCCGCCTCTTGGCCAGACGTCCGACTCGCAAGCCTTGCCCGCCCCCCCGGGGGGGGGGGGGGGGATATACAGGGGCCCGGCGGGGCCGGAACGACACCCCGCTTTGATGGCTCTCCAAGCCCTGTCCCGTGGGCGTGGTCCCCCTCCCGCGCGCCCCATGGGCGCGCGCATGGACACACACGCACACATGCACACACACACACACACACACATACACACCGGTGGCGTGGGACGCGCCGCCCGTCCGGGGCGGTCCCCGAATGCTTGACTGTCATCGTGGCGTGGGGCGCCCTCCACATGCGCGGGAACGCCGGACCTGACTCGGGTCGCCGATATTCTTCCCTCTGTCTGACGGGGGGGGGGGGGGGGGCATCAGGCCTGTTGCAGGGCTTACTGCCAAAGCAAAGACGCCCGGCATCCGCCCCGCGCGCCCCGCCCCCCACGGCCGCCATGTGCTGCGTGTATCTGTGTATGTCTTTGTGGGGCCTCGTGTGTGTGTGAGCGTCGACGGACGTCCATTTAACCGCGGCGCCGCCCGCCTGGCCTCGCCTCCGGCCCTCGGCGACACACTGCCCAGCGAGGCGGCCCTCCTCTCAGTGCCTCCCCCCCTCCCGGCGAGGGCGGCGAACAGAGAGGCTTGACAGCACCAGCTCCTTTCCCGTGACGCATGCGCAGCCCGAGGCGCCGCCCTTGTGTGCCGCCCGGCGCCGCCTCCCGCCCCCCCCAGCCCGGCGGGGCAACAAGGGCGCCGGGAATCGAGCTGGCCCGGCATGTGGGCCGCCCGGTCCGGTGGGACCTCTCCGGGCGTTAGTTCGGCCACCAGCTGCCCGGCCTCCGGCCGGCCGCGTGCTCGCCCGGGCTGGCTGTTCCGTTCTCCCAGTGTCTCCTCGGCATCGCCTCCAAGCTCCCACCCCCGCCGTCGACCAATCATCTATGCCGGCGGTTGTGGCCCTCC